GAGTTCTTGATTAAAGTAAACCCTACATTAGCACAGCATAATAATGAGTTGGTAGAGATGGTTAACCTTGTTTGCTGCGAATCCTTCTTTGCATTCGAAGGTCAAACGTATAAGCAATGTAGAGGGGTCCCTATGGGAAGCCCAATTTCAGGGCTGTTATGTGAGCTTGTTGTTAGTAGACACGAGGTTAAAGTTTTGCGTAATTTCAAAAACAATATAGTATACTACAAAAGGTATGTCGATGATATATTCATAATTTGGAATAGCAATCGAGTAATTGCTAGCTTTATAGATAGGATTAATGATAATGAGGATGGCCTTAGCTTAAAAAAGCATAAATATCTATAAAGCTTTATAGATAGGATTAATGATAATGAGGATGGCCTTAGCTTAAAACTAGAGCAAAAAAGCTCTGTTTGGTACATTTTTTGGACATTAATGTTATGTTTAGAGAGGGACGTATATCTACCGGGGTATTTATAAAACCAACGCATAGCCCACTGTATATACCTGCTAGCTCTAATGATCCTTATAAATATAAATTAGCAGCATTTAGAGCGTTAGTTAGGAGGGCTTTTTTGTATTGCGAGAGTATAATAGACAGGGATGCAGAAATAAAAAGAATCATGCAGGTAGCAGAAGCGTTGGGCTACAAGAGGAATGTTATAAAGGGGATTATCAATAAATTAGAAGCTAGTACACAAATAATATCTCGTCGTGGTCCATCTACATACACGAAATTTACGTACAACAAGCGCTTAGGAAGCATTATGAAAGAAATCGCAAATAAAAAAGTTACAAGAATAGTCTTAAAAAGAGCTCCGAATTTGTACAGAATACTTAGAAATGATAAAGGGATAGTTAAAAAAGAGGATAGGTCAGGTGTATATAAGATCCCATACGAGAATCAGATGTTAGGAATAGATAAAGAATATGTTGGGGTTACTACTAGAAATCTAGGGGTAAGGATAAAAGAGCACAGATATGATGTGAGAAAAGGTTCGAATGCCACAGTATTGTCTCAAATGGCGCAAACGGAGGGTTCGATAGTAAGATGGAATGAAGCAGATATACTGAAACAAATACACTCCCCGACCTTGGCAAAAACGGCCGAAAAATTAGAAATTTATAAAAGCAAACTTAAAGGGAATTGCATCAACGCAAGGGATGCCGAGGGACTTCCTTCCGCATGGAAGTTTGCAGTTAAAAACTTCAAATAAGAGCAGGAGCTTTAATATTATGTATATAAAAAACTCTGTATAGTTTAGTTGAGAAACTCCGTACAGTTTATTAAGCATTATTAATATATAGTGTTATCGATTTGTCTATTAAGTTTGAAGTATTAATATTTTGTATACACAATTTATTTGTTATATTTTAATATTTTATTTTTATTTTTATTTATAATTTTAGCAGCATTTGTATTAATTATATTATTTAAAAACGTTATTTTGCTGTTAGTAATATATTGATTATCCGTTATTAATATTTATATTTTTTGTATTTTGAACTTGTTGTTCTATTTTTTGAAATGTTCTAATTTACCTGAAGATGATCCATTGATTGGATTGAAAACGTTTGTGTTAAGAATAAATCTCTCAGCGAGTGAACAGGTGTTGATTTAGTTATAGTCTTGTATATTGTTGGTTTACAGAATAATAATAATCTCACTCATTACTAATTTTGCCAATTTCCAAAAACAAAATTTTATTTCAATGAAAATTAATCAAAATATCCTTTGTTTTGCCTGCTATGTATATATATACTCTCTCCTTATGAAGTAAAAAATTTCCTAAAATTTTATTAAAAATATTTTTTTATATTTTAGGTATTTGAAGATGTCAAGGAACTTTTTAAAACTTTTCTATGAAGGAAATAGAACATTGTTTGGGCTTTACAGTAAATTTATTTCTGTATCTGAAATTTAGAAACTGTAATTTTGGATGAAATTATTTTTGAATAGAAAAACAGTTATGAGAAATCTTGTTAATAATTTATATACATTTATTATTGTTATTTGATAGACAAGATATACATTTAAAGATATTAGAAAATGGTGATTGTTGCAATAATAATTAAAAAGAACAGAAATTTAAATAAAACAATGTTATGTTTTTCATCAATTTTTCCATTTTTTTCTTATTTGAAAGCTTAATCTATATTTGTATACTTTTTATTAAGCTATATTTATCTGCTAGCTTACTTTTTTAGTAAAGGCAATTGTAGTTTTATAAAATAATATACTATTATGAGAACATGCTGTATATATTTAATTAAATGACACTGCACAGTTTTGTAGAAGGCATTTTTTTTAACCAATTAAAATTGTTTGTACTTGTTTTATGTATACAGAAAGTATTATAGATTGTTCTGAAAAATTATTGTTTTTAGCTTGTAATTAAATTCTTGATTAAAAAGAGTCGTTATTTATCCAAAAAAATAAATTGTATCAATATTTTATATGAGAATATTTATTCCATATACATATGTTTGAAATTTTTTAATAAGAAAATGATTCAGTTTGTTGGGCAACCTCAAAATTATTCATAAATTTTTCAAATAATGTTTCGGTTTATTTAATTAATAATATAGTTTATATATAAACTTATATCAGGAAGAAATGTATCGTGTTTTCTTGATTCTAATGTTACCTTTATTGGGACATGGGTGTCAAAAATTAGGGTGCATATAAGAATCCGGTAGAGATTCGACTTAATGCCGCCTCTTTGCTCTTCACTCTGCTCGGTAATTCGCGTGTATTATGACGTGAGTGTTAACATGGTACATATCCTCTCACTACTACGGTTTTGGCTTTCGGAACGGTTTGGTGGTCTTTTGAAACCAAACGAACGATGTCCAGCAGAAGAATCTCATGAAGATGTATTTAAACAGAATTGTCCACTATGCTAAAGAACATGTCTACAGGTATAGCGGTCATGTCTACAGGTAATCTGATAAATCTTATGCTTGTGCATACAGGCTTGAAATCTCGCAGTTAAGACGCTGATCTTTCTTTGAGAGTGATTTTTGTATTGATAAGTAGATCAGCTATATATATGATTATTGAGTTATAACTGAATACATTCGAATATGTGGACATCATGAAGACCCCCTTTTTTTATTATTATTTTTTTTTATTGGATGATAATCATTTTTCCTTACGGGGATCAGAGTCATCTTTGTCCCACCTATGTACCACAAGGAGATCATGAAGCACTGTAAACATGAAAGTTAAAAGCTTTTCAAGAAATGTGTTTATAAAGGCATAATCTGGGAGGACCCGGAATGAATTCGGGCGAACAGCCAGCCCCAGCCAGGAATTTTCAAGGGGTGTCAAATTTGACTCATTTTTAACTGGCTAAAAAAATTGCAGGCCCACGAGACAAGTGCCATTCTAAGGCTGTGAGTAATACTACCATTTACGAGTCAAATTTCAAATGATGCTTTTGAATTTAATGTAAGAAATTTTATTGATGATGAAACAGCTGAGGGTCAAACTATCAAACTTAAGTTTTGGTATGCAGTGTGTATGATGGATTGGTAACATCGTAGAAATTTCATTCAAACAAAGAAAGTCAATTTTTTCATCCACATGGCCATTATAGGTCTTTTTACTGGCCTAAATAAAACGTTATCTGTTGGATTCCTGAGCACCATATTTTAGCTGTAATTTCTCCTACAGAGAACTCCTCTGGCTGACCATATAGCTACCCAGAATTAGTACTGTCAAATGATAAAAGTTTTAATTCCATTATCTAGTCATTTTTTATTGGCTTGGGAACCAAAAGTTACCCGTTTGTACAAGTCTTTTTTTTTGTTATGCTTTGTGTGTATCTATATTAAAAAAAACCTGCGGCTGGGCTCCCATGGCTATCAGGCGTGACCCCTTGGCAATGGTGCACTAGTTCAAAGGACTGGTGGTTTAGCCACTATGAACTAACTCAAGTACTCTGTAGCCTCTTGGCATAGTTTTAAGAACTATCAGATTGATCCTAGTTGCAAATTCCATATGTATTCCCTTATCATAGGAATACAACCATTCAAAACAAAGTCTTAAAGAATAAGCATTTTGTTTCTATTAGCCTAAAATGAAACAAAACACGATTAGGCTAGAAATCAAACTGTTTTTGGAATACAATATAATCAGAATCCTTGCAAATATTTTGCATAATATTTGGACGAGCATAGTTCAGCAAGTATGCATATTCAAGATCTTTCAATTTAATTACATAATGACAACCATCTAATGAGCTAACAGGCTAACTTGCATTCGGTAGTCTTGTATAGTTCTAAAGTCATTAGTCAAAGTGTGGCTTTTGTTTTACACAATCAAGACCACTATGTTCAATGCCACATTTTTGCTCTTAGCAGAGTAGGGCAGGAAATTAAAATTATATATTTCGAAAGAAGGAAAGGTGCTCTTTCTAATACAGCAAAAAAATAAAAAAGTTTAAGATACCCCACATGGCAACATTCGTTTCTAAATGTTGGTAAAAATTGGGTCTCAAAATTTTTTTCATTTTCAGTGATCATATTTCTAAAACTATGACAGCTATAAGCTTAAAATTTTCTATGAATAATTAACTTCTTATGCGGTTTTAAAACCCGTAAAAGGAAGTTTTCTTTCTGAGTTACAGGTAATTGAAATGTGACTTGTTTTATGAGAGTGAATTTTTTTCAAACTTCGGTGAAGATATTCTTAGTTTCCTTTGTGCCAAATTTAATCGAAATCTGAGGGGTTCGAGCTGGAGACCCTGAGCACTTGACATGGAATGACCCATTAGGTAACTTTCAAATATTTTCAATTAGTTCAAAATACAGTATTTTCCAACAATTGAATCAGTATGGAAATATTAATTACGGTACACATTTCTAAATGTTTTTAATAATTAATATATTAGTAGATATGAGAATAAAAATGAACTTAAATGAAACAATAAACTGCATATTGCCAGTGAATATCTTAATTATAATAGGAAATTTAAGAAATAAGTTTTTAGTAAAATATTTCATCCAGTAGAGATTTGAAAGAGAATTATTTCTATATTTTACTAAAAAAAATTTCCTTTAATATAGTAAAATTTAATTTTTGGATACAGATTCTCAGATTTTGTACATTGTTGCTAATTCAAGAATAATAATGTGTTGTCTTTCCTTATCACAAGAACTTATTTATGTAATATACTGAACATATCTGCATTGCCATAATACATTTTTAGGATAAAATTTTAAGAGTCATGATACTTGTAAAGAAAACAACGTTTTAATGGTAAAATATGATTGTCTGAAGGAAAAAAAGGACTTACCGAAAACGGATGAATGTTGTTTATTTCGTTTCATATTACAGTATATAATTTACACTTATCAAAATGGAAAAAAATACAATGCTTAATGTACAAAGTTTTACAGATTGCGTAAATTGAATTTAATGATAAGCAATCAGTTTTAATCAATCAAATGAAAAAATGATAAATAACCCAACAGTATATTATAATTTATCACAACAAACACGGCTTATGAAGTCAAAAGCTTAAATATGGAAAATCATTAGTTTTGTTATTTATCTTCAGATGATTGTTTTTTTTTACTTCGTATTTAATTAAAGTTTTTTATTCCATCATACTCGTTTCTGATCGATTAGTTTTGTTCAGTTTTAGTTTCGTTTTCGCTATGAGCAACGAGTTTTGGATTTTTTGTGTAAAGCCAAGCTATGGATCATAAAAGAAAACAAAATGCTTTAGATTTATCGGTAGATAGATATATTGTTTTTATAAGTTTAATAAAACTCTGGCTTATACGCTTTACGACTGAAATTTTATCCACTACGTAATTGATTTTTGTCCACAATATTGACATACAGTAATGGACAAGTCGATATTACTATATACAACAGAATCCCTTTTTATTCGCGGTAACAGATACACTGAAACGAGGTAAAAATACATTGGTTTGTCATCTGGACATAACGGAAACATCCGCGAACTGCAGGTATTTTATCCGTGTCCTTTGTCGAGATCCGTTCTAAGCTGATTCTACTGTATATTAATGGACTTTTCGATATGAAGGACGAGTCCGTAGTAACGAGTGATGGCGATAAAATGGGAGAACTTCTTCGACCCGTGTTCGTTATACGGCGCTTTTACTGTATAAAATAAACTAATTAACGATATTTGTTCATTGTCTCATGCAGCTTCGTCGTATATTGACCAAAACCACGTTACTTGCTTTGAAGGCCAAATTAGCCCCGAGTGTAACCAGCGCTACCTTTATGGGAGCGTTGATCCACGTTGAATCTTCAGCCGTGTTGCTTGGTAAATAGGCTTTAAAACAGCTGGATAAGCAAACCATTGACATCGCCCGTTTCATTTGAAACAGACGGTACCATTGGTTTGCTTATCCAGTAAAGCGATATCTGGTAAAGCGACTTTGGTAAAACCGCTTTACCAGGCAACGTACTCATAGTTTGAAACTTCTTGCATAAGTTACGACGCACTTTTTTTATAGCTTGTGTTTCCTTTTTTTATAGTCTGCGGGCAACGCTCTATGGAGACTTTTTATCATTAAATTTCTTAGATGGTGTAAAGTACTATTAATATCCGTTTATAGCACTTAATTAATTTTGGAAAATATCACAATTTTATAATTCGTAGACGAAATAATAATATAAAATTGTAAATGGATATTAACTGCAGGAGAAGGATATTCGGTATAATAATTTTCACGATTATTAAACGAGTAAATGTTTAAAGAAGTCAAAAAGAATAAGTATTAGAACCGAATACTTTTAAGGAGTTTTCGTCTTTTTTGTTGTTCGAATTTTTCATTTTAAATATTAATATTAGTATATTTAACCATATATATTATAAATACAACTAATACTCACATATCAAACGATCAGTCGGATTCTGCACTATAAGCAGGAGCTGCAGGTTTTATATCATATCCGAAATTTTGATAACTAAGCACTATACTTGTATAATACATGCAAAACTTTTCTACTGCCAAGGAGATTTATGATTTTTCATGGATATGGATTTCAGACCTTTATCAGTGTGAATGAAAGGAATGGAAATAATGTTACTTTCAACGCATTTGTCTAAATTCATTCTTTTAAAAGGACAAAATTTCAATTAACGCAGTCTTTTAAATTTGGAAAAATTATGTATTCCTAAATTAGCCTAATATAATATTTTTGTATTTGCAAGTAGTTTTTCATAACATTTGAATTTAGTTGTTAAATATTACTGTATATAAAATTTCACATCTTAATTTAAAAAAGGAAAACAAATCTGCGGTAATAAAAATCTCATTTCCTGTAATTTTATTAATACTATTTTTTATTCCACGTTTAACCTAAAATATAAATACCAAAGTAAATCCGTTTTATTAAATGTGGAAATTTAACAGTTTCTAATTAGAGCGCGATGCAAGCGAATATTT